ATTTCGACTCACCTCGGGGTTTGTGCATTACAGTGGTAGATGTACTGCGTCATTGTGTCATCATCAAACAGATCTTCAAATTTCCTTTTGAAATCCGGACGGAATCTGTTCACCAAACCCGGTCCTGAAATAACACCACACTGTAAGAGGAGTGGAAGAAGTATGATGTGTCACATGACATCACGAGATAAACAGCAACACATCTCACCCCACGGCCCTGCTGCTCTGATGACAGCCAGGGGGTTGAAGAGCGAGACCACCGCTGCAATGGCTTTGACCCAGCGTGGAAGGGGAGGCCTCTTCTGCACCTCCGCCCCCTGACTCTGAGGCTGCTGGGTCTGAGTTTTAGGTCGCTCGGGGTAACCCCACGGATCCACTAGGATGAGATGTGACACTCTGCAAGAGGAGAGGCGGACACATTAGACCGTCAAATGGCAGTTCATTATCACCCGCCTGGGATATGCAAATCAATCTGTGCCGTTCGTTTCTGTCTGTCGTTACTGTTCTAGGCTGAAGACGCAGATCAGGGTTTCATGCACGCGTTCAGAAAATACCAAGGTGCATGGAGAGTGAAAGGCTTGTATGACACTCCCTCCACTTCACTGTCAGTGGTTGGTCTAATCAACTCACCTAACCAGCCCACCGTTACAGGTGCCTCATTGGCTGATATGTATACATTATATGTGGATGTATATTACTAGTTATATCAATGTCTTTTTTTAAGCTTTCTTAATTTGTTAACTATTTAAATGATGCTTGCGATGTGTTTCTCGATGACTCTGTTAAAAGGCCACAAGTCGAAACGAGTCGGTCTAATAAAGTTAATAAAATCAAGTGTTGAGGGAGCTTTTTGACCTCTCACTGTTCTTGACTAACAAAAGGAGGACTAAAGTGAGGAATGTGAATATCTTTTAAGGAGTGGCGGAAGTGGCATCTTATCATTATGAAAGCCACGCCTGTTCACAGGACGATATGGAGACTCTAATACAAAGTATAAAGTATTTCAGATTCTGAGCTTTGAAGTTATTTTACTTCACCACTGTAAAGAATAAGAACGCACAGTGAAGGTGTCATCTAATAAAGTGGTTTTAGTGGACTTGTTAGTCCACGCTCACAGCTCTTAGAACTCCTGTCTTCCACAACGTTCACCAGATCGAGCTACCGTTTTCAGGTAGTGTGTATCTTGTTTGTTTTATCATAACAAAGTCCAGACTACAAAAAAACAATGATGACAACAATTAAGAGTTATTGTCAGGCTATTTGTTAGCAAGTCTTGACGGCACCATGAAGGTTGCAGAGCTACCAGAAGAACCTTTATTAAGTGGCGTCATCTGTACTAGAAGTAGCCATGTGGGACAGATCCAGGAGGTTTTTCTGTTTCCTCTCTTTGGACTTGAACCCTAAAGCCTATTTCTTAAACACTCTGTACTTTTGCACAGAGCTTTGTTTCTTCAATCACTCTTTACTTGTTTTATTGTTAATATTTCTCATATTATTACTAATTTCTATTTCTATTTAGATCAAGTATTTCTGACTCTGAACTGTAGTCAAGAAAGCAGGGAAGCTTATTCCACAGCTCCAGTACAACCAGATAATAATTCTACAACTGGTCGGAGATCAAACACAAGGTGTGTGCATTTAAATAAGTGGTTTTTTTAAAAAGACCAGTGTCTAAAGAGATCATATCTGACTGCCATGATATGTCCATGATATGTCCATACATCAGAACTGAAATTAATTGATTTTCTAAAAAAAAAAAAAAACTAAAAAAAACACAATTCTTTCTTGAGATAAGAACCTAGTTAATATTCAACATGACACGTTCAATATACGTTATCCTAATCCATCTCTTTCCTCACTTATCTCGACAGTCTTCTCATGAACATTACAGACTCCAGTAATCCTCAAACAACAAACTAAATCAATGCCAGCTGTATGTACTGCGTTCTGCAGCCATCATCCGTGACATCACACACCCCGGACATGCCATGTTCCCCCCCTTGCCCTCTGGCAAGCGCTACATCTACAGGCTTGCTCCAACAATATTTTGTTGTACTTGTACAGTGACAATAAACATATCTTATCTTATTATTTCATGTTTATCATGATTTCCAGTATTTACCTAGAAGGGTACTGGATGGCGTAGGAGGTAGCAAGGTAACCCCCCAGACTGTGTCCCAGCAGAATCATGTCCTCCAGGCCGACAGACTGTCTCCACTGCTCGATGGACTCGACAAACTGCTCCTCTGCTTTGGCAGCGTCTGAGGGAAAGGGAGGTCTGGAGCTCCTGCCGAAGCCCAGGAGGTCAAAGGCGTAAACTGGCCGGGACCGACTGAGCGGCTCCAGGTTCCTGATCCACAGGCCCACTCCTCCTCCAAACCCGTGGACCATCACCAGGGGGGTCTTGGCTGGAGGGGGGGGGGAAGACAGTGACAGATACAGGATGAAGGAGTGATGTAACAGGTGTTTACAATGTTTAGACTGCTGTTGGATTACAGCCAGTTCCTTCTAATGAACAAGGAGTGGGAGGAGAGTGTTACCTGCAGGTGGTTCTACAGGTTTTTGCAGCACTTTGTTGCTGACCGTCAGAGTCCATATGCGATGCTGGTTTGGTAGGGTCACAAATCTAGCCCACAGGTCATTCTGAACACCTGTCATGACAAGAATAAAGGGAGCGATGACAAGCATGTCCTCAGTTAGGCTGTGTGTTGCAAAGCAAAGGTGTCAAATTACACTCTCAGGCACTCAATGCGGTTAGATGGATAATTCTATGAAGGCTTAGCAGCTTCTGTGCGTCATTACAATGCTTAGTTATATTTGCAATTGTTTTGAATGGTTTTGTTATGTGCAAGAAAACATCAAAACATTCTTACAAGAAAGAATCTTGGACTCTGCAGTCTTTAAAAGGGACATGGAGGTCGGGCGCCAGGAAGGCCACCAGCTCCAGACTGAACCTGTCCTAAAAAAACAAAAAAACAGAGACATGAAAGGAACACAGAAAACATCAAGTGCAATGCCGAATGTACGATAATAACATTTACGGTGTAAGTGGAAGGTTAATGTTATCACTGTTTGCATGACGCACACATGTTTTACACGCCCTGCAGGGTCACATTTCAATGGCAGAATAATACTGTCAATCAAAGTCCACCAGCAGAGATGTAGGAGTTAATATTATCATAATAACCTCTGAAGCTTAAACACAGACACAATTTCTATATTTAGGATAAAATCTAAATCTTAGATAACATGCGCTGAGGCGTGTCTGCCTCTCACTTCCTCTCTGGTTGGTAGAAAGAAAAAGAAACAGTGTCATGTTACTACCTCCACCGTCAACACACACCAGGTACACCACAAAGTCTTCTACCTGTCATGCGATCACTGTGGGCAATTCAAATGTGCTGAGTCACCCTGACAAAGGGCTCAACGGGGGGTGAAACTCAAAGCAGCTCTTGTATTCTCCAGAGAGTGACCATTCAAAGAGACCTGATTGTTTACAGTCCCAGATCGAGACTATTTGATTTAATATTAGTATTATAAACAAAAAGGCAACTGCTTATAATCCTAGTTACAAATAAAAAACAAAAACAATACTATTACAAATATAATGACATGTTCAGCTACAGTGAGCCTGTATTCTACTATTCAAAAGAAGGTTTACTACGTTTGTTTCTGATCGAGTTGTAACAAAGGGCTATTTGGGATTAAACAATTAATTACGTCACTGAGACTGTCTTCATTCATAAAAAGACGTGACGCGGTTCATTAAGTAATTATCATGTTTACTTTTCTTTTAAAACGGGGTTTTTGTTGTTAAAGCACGACATGAGAGCCCAACAACGATAGAAAGAATGAACTCGACTCAGTGAGCACATTTAGTAAACAAAGGTTTTGCTTTCTTAACGATATAAACAGACAGATTGTGTCCTCTAAAGGTTCCTCTGTTACTTACTCTGTCTCACAATCGTTTTGTAACTGAGCTGGGGTTGTAGCGGGATCCATTTGTTGACATATTCCGGAGACTACATCCAGTTAAAAACTAATTTAAATGTCTGAAACACGCTCCTCCGCGCCCGCTGCTTTGATTAAACTCTACTGCATGTTTGTTTGTATTGTTTTGTAACAAGAACATTCCTGGGTCAGCTGACCCGGCACGAAGATCGACTATTATAGAGATGCATCAATGGTACATAAAAAATAGTTCACAGTGTTTCACTGCTGTGGCGTTCACAATCAGAGAAAATCGATTCGGATGGTTTTCCTGAATTTCAGTGATCAAGTTGAAGTTGCAGTATAAGTGCCAGGTTTATGAAAAGTACATCTGTTTAGTGTGATTTCCCCATGTTAAGGGTTGTTATCTGAGGTGGACAGAGATACTCGACACATGAACTCCATGCAGACAGTTTTTACTATACTTGTTGGTCACTCAACATTTGATTCACCAATATTTACAGTTTATGATATTGACTTAATTCTAAAATTTAGGGCATTTCAATGGTGTCTTATAAATGAGAAATACAAAAAAAAAAAAAAAACACTTTCAGATATATTTGTTCATAATTATCAAAATATCGACTTTATTCTCAACAATTCAACTCAACTCTGTAAGTAAAAGCAATTATTCAACTCGAATGAATTATAACTCGAATTATGACAACTTACTTACATTTGTCAAGAAAAACCACAAACAGCCGAATGGACATTCATATTTCAGTGTTGGAGTTTTTATTAGTAAAATAAAAGTAAAATAAAACAACGAAAAAAAAATCTCCTAGGGTATTCTGTCAACCACAAACAGTCCAGCTCAAATACAGTAGTGTAACATTTACAGAATCAAAATAGCAGTCGAAATCAACATAATCTGAAAAAAAACATACAGAGATAGCCATCTTCTTTTTTTCACACATCTTTGTTGAACAGGGGGGCGGGGCAATAGATCCTTTTTAACAACGAAGGGGCTCTTTCCTCTGATTTCCGTTCCGTCCGAGTCGGAATATATTCTTTGTAACGCCTTGTCCGCTTCCGGTTAATGGGGACACGTCACTCATTTGACTGAGGAAGAGGACCCTGTGCACAACTCCGTTCACCAATTTGTGTCCAAATTAGACGACAGAATCATGTCTAATTCAGTCGTATCTGTTGTCTCTCGGTTCCTGGAGGAGTACAGCACCACCACGCCGAACAAGCTGAAGGTGGTGGATTCATACCTGCTGTACATCCTGTTGACAGGAGCGCTGCAGTTCCTCTACTGTCTGCTCGTCGGCACTTTCCCATTCAACAGCTTTCTGTCGGGCTTCATCTCATGTGTGGGCGCTTTCATCCTCGCAGGTAAGATTTATTAATCCAGTTTAATGTTTAAACAATGTGTGGGTCGGAGGGTTTCACTCACTGGACTTGTGGCCCATCGGCAAAACGTGTGCAGGCACAAGCTAACGTGAGCTAACGATGCTAAGACCCTCACAGCTTCAGATGTAGTTAATTATTTATCTGACATTAAACATTTAATTACAGGAAGGCCCAGTGTGCTTTTACATGAGCAGAGACAGTTTTGCTGTACCTCAGGTCAGCAGGTGTTTAGTTCCGGAGTAAAGGACGACAGTAACCAATGGGATTTGAGCACATCTGTGTTATGTGGATGCACTTCATGAAACTGTGCAGCTGAACAGGAGTCTACATTAATGTGGTCCCTATAGGGGAGGAAAGTGAAGACCCTCACAACAACATAACTTTTATTTTTGAGCTTTTTCTTTTAGCAGGTGAGATTTAGTAATTGTGTTGATGTGATGAAAATGGATTTTATTGCATTTGACTGCATGATGAGTAGCTGGCCTGTAAAATGACAAAATCCTCACACACGTTGTTCTTTGTATTGATGGAAATAAAGAGTTACAGCCTCTGATCTCATGAGAGAACATGGCACCACAGAAGCCTGGCTTGTCTTTGATAGACTTAAACAATTTATGTTTCATCTAATAACCAATTAATCAAAAATAGTTGGTAATTAGTTTTTCTGTCTGTTGCCTGATCATTTATCCACCAGTTGTTTTTGCACCACTGCAAGGTACGGTCGAGTTCAGTCTAATGTAAACTTAAAGGGATACTTCACCCGTTGAAACATGAATCTGTATTGACATTGGGTCATATATGTAGTAGAATTGTGAAATAAATTTTGAAGTTGGTGCCTTCTTGGCCGAGAAAAGGCAGAAAGTGTCTTTTTGGCTTATGTTGATGAAAGACACCAAATCCCAGAATGCACAGCACCGCAGGCCACTCCCACTACGGCCCTCTATTTCAGAATCAGAAATACTTTATTAATCCCAGAGGGAAATTCGATCGTTGCAGTTTCTCCAAAATATAAGATAGAGCAGTAGAAATAAAGCCGGTGGCAATGACGCAAAATGACGATTTTTGCGTCATTGGAAGCTTCTTTTCAGACTTAGAAATACAAAGATTTCCCATCTCAGGGGAAAATGAGGGCGGGATGCACGACTATTCAAAAATACTAGCAGGTTTCTGATGATACAAAGCTTAATGCAAATGGGTGAAGTATCCCTTTAAACATGATTACAACCCATCCGTGACTCTTCTCAGGGAAAAGTTTTAATGTTGGATTTGTTATCATGGCTTTAGGGAGACCAACTCAGACACATTATAGGCAACACCTCAGGTCTTCTTTCTCTTGTTTCATGGGTTTTTGTTCTTTTAGAGGGTCTACTGGTCTAGATTCATAACTGTCAAAATAAAAGGAGCCACAGGAACAACAGCAGAGCTTTAGTGTAGTTGTATTTATAAGTCATCTATTTGTGATGTTGTTTGGATTAAACTCACATCAGGATTATAAAAAACTGTTAACACAAGTATAGGTTGGTAACGGCTATAATCCTCTGTTATTCATGGCTGAAAGTGTTTAAAACAAAGTCAAATTCATGTCTTTTTTTTTTTTTCTTTCTCTTAGTGTGTCTTCGGATCCAGATCAACCCACAGAACAAAGGAGAGTTCCTCTCTATCTCTCCAGAGAGAGCCTTCGCTGACTTTCTATTCGCTCACACTGTCCTCCATCTGGTCGTGATGAACTTCATCGGTTGAAGCGGGCGTGCATCTGACGCACGGCATTCCCCTCTCAGAAGGTTTGTTTTTCATACATGCTTTTTACACCCCAAACATCCTTTCATCACATTTCTATGCATGTTTACTCAGTTGTCCTTTCAGCTGTGTACCACTTAAGAGTGTGGCATTCGGGGCCTCCTCATTTGAGTGCATTCTCCAATATGAAGCTGCAGCTGTAGCACTTTGCAGACAACCCTGACTTGAGTTCCCTGACCAATTAGGCTCAAACATTCCCCGGTACTGACATAAAGGAGGCATTCTGTGTTTTCAAATAGTTTAATACCAGACTTGTCAATAGAGATGAAGGAGCGGTTAACAGCGTTTTAAAACATGAAGGTTCATTAATCCTAAAGGCTCCGCTACACGCCGTGTTTCTGTTCTCGCTCGCCAAAAGGGGGCCGGGACGTTAGTTTCTGTTAAACCTGCACTGAGCAAAAACGGAGTGACACCAACTGCTGTGCACCAGTGCTGTCCTTTATAAAGCTACGCTACATTAGCATTAATGTTAGCATTCATGCAGCAGAGGGAAGATGCAGCGGAGGTTTGAATAAATAAATGAGTGAGGTCGGCAGCGTGGGAGCATTTTGGATACACCAAGAATGACCAGGGAGTCATTCAGGACGACTGAGCCGCCGTCTGTAAAACATGCCGGAAAAAAGTTTGATTTTAAACTTGATCACCACCCAGCATCCTGTCTAATAACTGAGTGACGTAACATTTGTGACAAATGACTCAATGAAACATGGAGATGGTCGTCATTAAATATAAATGTGGTGTAAACAAACGGCAGTGATGCTGCATGTCGTCTATCAGGAACTGTCCAACGTTTCTTCCTCCGCTCTGTGTGCAGTAAACGCTCAGCACTGCAGGCGGATGTACCAGGAGGAAAAACAAATGATTGAGCTTTTGGCTGCATCTTTCAGCTTAAAAGGGAAACAAAAAGCTAAGAAGTAGCTCATATTGAATACTAAATATAACACATGTAATGTTCTAAAGACTGTTAATGTTATTTTACACATTACTAGCTAATACTGTGATAATTGTGAAACCAGGATTATTCCTCTGACTGTAATCTGGATGTCTAAATTCATAATCGTTGCATCCCTGCTTTTCAAGGATGAATCGTTTAAAGAATGCTTTCTTGCTATTAGTACATTAGAAAATAAGAAAATCTCGTTCAAACATAAGTGTTTATGGTTTAGTGTCTTAATGGACAACACATGGGGACTCGTGGGATGTGGTAAGTGGCTCTTTATACAGAGAAAGGCAGCGCTGTTATGTTTGTGCTTATGAAACAAGAAAACATACCCGTGTCCTTTGGGTGCACTCAGTCACATTAACCGTTCTTGCCGGTTCATCTCTTCGTTCTCAGTGGAAAAGCTTCAGATAGATAATGTGATAAGACAGACTTCCTTCCTGCTTCTCATGGGAGATCCACATCAGACCCAATATTGCTTTTGCTTTGCAGGAGAACAGTGTTATTGAATTTCAGACTTGTAGGCGGGTCAGAAGAACATACCGCATCCTCTTGTTTATGTTTTGCCTCTGAACAACAACTCTAATTTCTTCGATGTCAATAACCCACACACCTCTCCTTTTTTTTTTACTTCCAGATAACAACAAGAGACGTTACTAAAATCTCCCTCCAACACATGACGCTACATCTGCTGTTGTGCCACTGATTCGGATTCCCATCCCACCTAAAAATGCAGAATTCAATGCATTGTGACAAATATGATGCAGTACACTTCTCTTACTGAGAACTGTTGATTTTGTTTGTTCTTTTTTTTTTAATTGTGGAAATTTGTAAAGCATTCCCTTTTGCACCGAGAAGAATAAAAAAAATAAAAAAATGTGTTCCCTGAGTGAAAGACTTTTGTTTTCAACAGTGATAGACTGTGTCTAAAGATAGCTGAAGGATGTAGCTAAGTGTTGAACACATTATATTCACATGAGAGAATGTATAGGTGTGATTGCGTGATTTAATGAGCTAACGGATGAGGCCTTACTGACGTTTATTTTTACTATCTGAAATATATTTTAATCTAATTATATTAGGTTGGCATACTGTATATCCATATTGAAATGACAGCTTCAAACATGGGGCTTTTTACATCATAGTCTGTGGCAGCTGAATGATCTCTCTCGAGTCTCTTACAGCAAAAAAAGAAAAATCTTTCCATGAGTTGACAGGAGAAAATAATTTAGTGCTGCAAAAATTGCCAGAAAAGAACTCCATCCCATGAAAAAAATTGGTTTTCAACTCCACAGATTGCATAATTTTTTTTAAAAGTTAGCGGATCTTAGCCCAAAGTCAATTCCTCAGCCAATAAGAATGAGGATGTGGGGTTCAATCTGAGCAGCAGGCCGTCTTGCCCGTCATGCAAAGAGTGGAGAAATGGAGAACAGAACATTACACCCCAGAGCAATGAGAGGCTGTTCTGCTATTACTTGTTTCTGGAACAACTGATGGAGTTAAACACGGTCCAGCTCGATCGCTTTAAACTGCACAGAGACGAGGGGTGTGAATGTGAGGGGCCAGTTTGAACAGGTTCTGAAACCTTTTTGCATACCGAGATGGAAAGTGGACTAAATCACGTTGGCACCCCAGGTCTCGCCTGTAAAGGTCAGATATAAATCTCTTCCTACGCTGATTTAATAGCAGACAAAGAGGTAGTCCATCCACCTACCTCTACATATTAAATGGTTAACGTTAACACCAGGGCTTTAGAGAGAAGAGAGGATTCTGGGACCTGAAGAACCAGATTAGATATTTGACCTAAGATCATTTAAATAAAGACTCTAAGATACCAATATGAGAGGAGCTGAGTGTCAAGTCCTGATTGGAATTTAAGCTACTTCCTACTATACTGAGAGGAGTATTCATATTCAACATTTGATCTTGTTACATTTATATAAAGTGTAATTATTACTTTGACCTTACATGTTAAAGACATCTCAGTGTCGTTGTTGGGCAAAGTAAATTAACTTTTTTATGCTATGTGGTGATTTGATTCTTAATACTTGTGTTGTAGTCAAGGCCACAGTAACTGAGACCAAGACATACCCGAGACCAGAGTGCTCAGAGACCAAGACAAGACCAAGACCAAGGCAGGGCGAGACTGAGACAAGACAAGGACCATAAATATCACTGAAAAATCATCAACTTGTCTTTAGGGGGCGTGTCACTAATTTAGACCGTAACACCGGGAAGATTGCAGCCGTAACCGCTGGGGATAAAAAATCAAACTAATTATTTGTTATAGTATACTCCGGAGTCCGCCCAGTAGGAGACCGAGACAAGACGAACTAAAATACCTTTGATCCCGGGATGTGACCGAGACCATCAAAAAGTGAGACCAAGACCGAACTCAAGTATTACAACACCACTAAATATAACAATGTATTTAATTTGATATGCTCATCTTTTAAAAATTGTTAAAGCTCCTGTGAAGCACTTTCTGTTTGTGTTGATTTTTGCGCCCTCCTGTGGACAAAACAGTACTTCAAGACATAAGACACTTTATTATCATTGAATGCAATACAAATACGTTTTTTTTGGTGACAAGCAGCCCAGCAGAATGAGCATCTTATCTCTTTGTTGAGTTTGCTCTGTACTTTTTTTCTACTAAAAAGTGTCGCTGTGGTCTCTTCTCACAGTGAATCACTTACTGAGAGAAAAACAGAATCTGCAAATGTAATCACAATAACATAGTTGAGTTAAACAAGCATCCCTTCTCTTAAATGAAGTTTAAAATAAAATATGCTGATGTGCAAATAAGTCAGTGCAGATATTGTAACAGCTGCTTTCTACACTTGGCATGCAAAGGATAATATTGAAGGGGTTATGTACATGTACTTTCCTTGTCTTATCCATTAACTGCTCCTTCCTTGGCGGGAAATAAAACGCTAAGAATTGAAGCGCCTATTGAACAAAGAAGGCTGCTGTTGTTTCATTAACCACTAAGCAGGATGTGTTACCCCTATCAATAAAATGGTATCTTTGCTCCATTCTTCCTGTGACACATGCAAGACTTTTCTACCATTTAAATGTGAAGACATATTAAAAGCTGTGGGGACGATTGGCAGATAAACGGATTCAACTTTTTTCCCCATCTTTATTTATTTAGAGAGACAGAGCTGTGACTACCTCCTTACAAGTGTGAGCAGTAAGATACATTAAACAGTGTTTCAAAACTAAAGCTGAAAGGAAAACCAGGATACTAGATTAAGTGTCATGGAGCACAACCAGCTGGAAATAATCAGTGCTGTGAAAGTTAAGTTTCGATTCTCCCAAACCTTGACCAGTTATAGTCTCAAGCCAGAGTCCTGCATTCATGTTTCCAGGAAATGGATGACCATAAAAGGCTTTGAAGCCAGAGCAAAAAGCAAGCGGCTTTAGGGACATCCCTGACAGCCTTCACAGAGCAAATTGAGAGGCTTGGAATAATTGTTTGTTCATTCGGTGGCTGTGGGGGCAGCGTGTAGAAGCTTAATCCAACAAATGAAGACTGGACCGAATCCAAAGTTTTCAGGCACCCAAATCAAATCATTTTATTACAGCCTGCCAAATCATTTCTGCATTCATGGAGGGAATGAGGCACTTAGCATTTGGCTGCTTGGGAGATTAGGTTATTAAAAAGACTGCTAACACTTTGGCTTACATAATAGAAAGCAGCAGATGTGACTAAAGATGACTCTGAACTATAGGGAGGCCACAACCTTTGATAAAATAATAGTTTAAGCTTTGGTTGAATTCAAGTTATATTTGTTTATTTGTAAAGAGAAAACAAGATAACCTCTTATGTGTGAAGCTGGAAGACAATTAGCATAGACACAATATTTCCTGTTCTGTTTGTTAAATCTGTATAAAAATCTTAAAGTGAAAATGGCTGAGTTGTGATTTTAAGAAGTTGCCTGAACATGATAAGTGCTGGGTTACTTTGCAGTGAGCTGTCTTTATGCTCACATATAGCTAAGTGGCTGGTGGTGGAGGAGCGCAACAAACCCATGTGACATATCAGGAGTTATCCACTGTGCTAAATTGCAGCTGGAGAACTTGGTCAGAACAAAGTAAGTAAAAACGCAAAATCCAAAGGTAATTTTTTTAATATAAAATTATATTCGGCCTATATGGTGGAGCTGAAATCCACAAGGTTATCTGCATGTCTGTTCTTTCACAGTTAGCATAGTTTTCACATATGCATGCTACTATGAGTAAGTGAACGGCTCATTTCCCTTGTGTTTGCATAATCCTTGTCAACCAAAAATGTATATATCCGGTCAGGGTTGTGTTGTACTCAATGTACTCCTCAAGATAAGACACCAATGTGCTCACTGACAGGTCAGTTTAAATATAGACCTATATATTTTTTCTGATCACATCTTTGGAGTGATATCAATGTGAAAACAGCCAAACAGCTGTGAAACATTACCCAGATTGTAAAGTCGGCTTGAAAAATCGTCAATTTGCTTTCACACATGCAGCTCAGCCCCAAAAATGTAAGGAAATTGTCAGGAGTATTTTGTATGTATGAAAGCACTAATGGCACGGACGCATCCATACATTTGATCTAACTTCGTTCTACTGTGACAAAGAGTGAGTTTAGTTTGTTTGCTCAAGAACTCGATTTAGTTATCTTGGAATAACAACGCAGTGGTAAGGTCTTTATTTCAGCCATTTTCCCGGGGCATTGAGAAATTATTATAAAAGTATCGCTATCTCTGGATAACGCGATAAATACAGCGAGATCTTGAGAAAACAAAGGGTATATATTTGTTATCAAGGGAAAATTTAAATTGAATTAAAATGTATTGATGCATGTCGGCTTAGGACTTCCATATAAAGCAGTGTCTGAATGTTTGAATAAATCTTCAGTTTAGTTCAAAGACTATACCAGACATTAGCAAATGGGTAACTTTACAGAAAACAATCTGTGATTTATAAAAGTTTTCATGAACCTGCATTAGCTTTTAGTAAATGTAATTCTCAACCTAAGAAAAACAAGGGTCATCTAAAGTCACCAAAAAAACATGATTCAGTATTTTACAAGGATGCCACAATGATTTCCACTTGTTAGATTTGTATTTAAATCAAAAATCCAGCCAGCACCTACATGGTTAAAATCTCAAAAATCTGAATCCAATTTATAGTCACATGACCAAGAGAAAAACTTTCATTGCGGAAACTGTAGTCCATTAACAGAAGGGAGTGGATTCACTTGGAATATCTCAAACAGATGGTGAAACATGCCGAAGCTCTACATTCGTGCCCTGAGCCTGGTAATATGCATCCCAGGTAATAACTGAGCACATACTGAGGTCATAGGATTACAAAAGTTATTCAGTAAGACTTTTATTTATGAAAGAACAGATTGTTCAGATGACTAATATGTATTTTGCACCCTCACTTTATTGTTGTGCTTTTTGGCAAACAGTCATGCTACAGTGTAAGACTTTTCTTACGTTTCACTTCTCATTATTAATTTATTGATATGTTTTATGTATTAATTATTTGTAATAGACAGATTTGAAAGGTTGTAAAAGCCGCCCTTTTGTCTGGGAGCCGCAGAGGGCTATTGTGTTAAAAATAATCTTTTAAGCCTCTGTACTCTTTGCCCCATTGGCAAGAGTTGGTTTGATGTTTATTTTTCTGTTCTCCAAAGGCCTGCTACATTTTTCTACCCCAAATCTGTTTAATAGAGGGATAATCCAATTTTGGAATGAGGGGTGCAGGCTGGGAAGTAGGGAGAGTGTTTTGTAAGGAAATGAAACTGAAACCATTACTGTTTTCAACATGAAGTCATCTTCACTTTCCCTCAGCCATCCTGTGCGCTGTTACCACAGAGGGACAGTATTCAGTCCTGGAGGGCCAAACTGTTGTCATACCGTGTCACTACGAGCCCCAGTATGAACACTATGTAAAATATTGGTGTCGGGGGACGACGAGGGAGTTCTGCACCAGCTTAGCCCGAACAGATTACCTCCAAGCATCCGATGCAGCCAAGGATAAAGCGAGCATTTCTGATGACATGGACCAACTGGTATTCACTGTGACCATGAAAAACGTGAAGACAGGGGACACTGGGTGGTACATATGTGGTGTGGAGATAGGCAGTATATGGAGTGCTGATGTTGTCACTTTCTCAAACATCAGGGTCATTGATGGTGAGTGATTTGAACTCTTAAACCTTTATTGACGCAATGAAGAAACCAACAAACTCTACACATTTCATATGCAAACTCTGAAAACAGGTCCAATCATTTCGTGCAGGTATGTCTGTGGTGAACACCCAAGTGACTGGGGAAGAAGGGGGAAGTGTCACAGTTGAATGCCTCTACAGTGAGAGATACAGGTACTGCATTTTCCCATTTTTAGTCTATCAATCATAACAGTTTTATTTACCCTAAAATCCAACATTTATAAAGCATGAGTGAACCTGTAAAAAATACTTCTTTGTGTGAAATCTTCAATTCAAGCCAAACTCTGACGGACAGTCAGCCTCCTCTGACTCCCCTGTGATTGGTTGCCAACAGAGAAAGCAGAAAGAAGTGGTGTCGGAGTGGAGACTGGAGCTCCTGTCGGCTGACAGATTCTGGAGCGAGCTACGAAGATGCTTCAGTGGCCATCATTGATGACAGAACTAGGACTTACTCTGTAACCCTAAAGAAGCTGCAGCTGAGAGATGCCGGCTGGTACACTTGCTCTGCAGGAAAGCACAAGATTTCCGTGCAAGTGCTGGTGACGTCTCGACCCAAAGATAGTAGGTTGACAAAGAACCCTTATAAATTGAAGTATGAACACATTATCCTTTCTGATCAATTTCTTTCACTGAATGGTAATCAAAAAAAGTTATGCATTAGCTGTTCCTTTTTATCATAAGTTTTTTTCTTTTCTTGACTTTGTGGGTCTCTGTCTGCTTTTTTTCAGACTCTAGTGTGGTTTGTTTGTCGTAAGAACATTAACCAACCTCAATCCAACCATGACTGTAGGAAGTGTTGCACTATTTGTGTTCATTTAAGAAAGGTATCACATAGGCGACTGTAAGGCTGCCTTTGAATGTATCAACTCTACCGTCATTACACAGCATCTCTTACAGCCCCTCTTAAGTTTACTTATTACAAAAGTGAAAATAATGGGAATACGAAAAACAGGTGTGAAAAAATCCTTGGATACCTCAGCTTCGATCAAATCTAACTCGTTTCACTGAAAGTTTATTTAGATAGTCTCTGGACACATGGTGAATAGAAGTCTGTTTACCTTGTAGCTTTGTTTTGGTCTCAACCATTTCATGATACAATACCAACATCATTAGCTACTGGTACTGCGATCAATCATTAGCTAACTTTGTCTATTGGTGGCTCTGGCAAAGAGTTTTTATCAGAACTTGAACAGTTAAGTTCCATCCATCCATCCATCCATCCATCCATTGTCTTTACCTTTTCACCCTGGACTGTTCACCAGTCAATCACAGGGCTGACATATAGAGACAGACAACCAGCCACACTCACATTCACACTTACGGGCAATTTTAGAGTCACCAATTAACCTAACGAGCATTTCTTTGACTGCGGAACAAGTTATGATTTAAAAAATTAAAACAAATAGCTCAAAGGCCAGTGCATTGTTCTCCAGGGTGGGCACAATTTTCACTGATAGACCAGGATGTATATCTCTGTTCTTTAACTTGTTGCCTGCACATTCTGGAACAGAATTCTGGCTAACAGAATTAGCATAGCTGACATTTTTACTGAGGAAACTACCTGTTTTACTTAACATTCTTAACAAACAACCCCATATGCACTGTTACTTACAGTCATATGTTCCCTAAACTCTGTGGAGACAAATCTATAAAACTGCTGACTCATGCTAGTCTGGTCTGCTACTCTGATCTATTTCAATAAACAGTCTTTGCTCTTATAACATGACACTGCATGACTCACTCTTTATGTCCCCAGTCATGGGACGTATCTCTCTCCTGCTAACTTTTTTTCTGCAGCCATCAAAGATCCTATCGCTTATATTAAAGAGGAGCAATGAGTATGTGCAGCTTATAACGAGAGTCAATGGAAGCCATTCTTATTGCAGATAGTACATTTTACTCAATTACTGCATAATATTTACCTGGCCCCTTTAAAATTGTACTTATGTATAGCCTACATTTAAAACAATTTCAAAAATATCATATTCAGTGAACATCTGTCGTTTTCCGTGTGGGGAGTGGTTGGGCAGCTCCCCTAGCGCACTCTTTTGACCAGCCGCCACAGTCCAAGACACTAAATACTCAATAGAGTTGAAGGTAACCGCAAAACATTTTGGATTTTCTCTGAAATTACTTACTATTTACAATATCCTTTTAAATTGAGTTTGATCTTTTGGTAGTGCTTAGAGGGAAAGTTTAAATTCTCTATAAAAGGAATTCCAATTTTCCCACATTTTCTTTTCATTGAGAAAAAGAAAAGTAGTGTGCAACAAAGGTCAAACCAGCTTTATATGCCATTTTGCTTTATACTGTTGGTTGGTTGGTTGGATGGTTTGAGTGGCTACACGATGTTGTTGTTTTAAGTTCCAATAAGCTCTTTATTTAGTTTATTTACAGGTTGCCGTTACTGTCAAGGTGGGAAACTCAATAGCTGTCATACTGCTTAGTATCAATCATATCAATGGAACGACTCTGACAAATGTTGTCATTTCTCCATACTTTCAAATGAATATGGATAATGATAATGGTGATAATGATAATGCAAAGGATATTCATTCTTTAAATAAAGCAACATGAAATTAATTTACATCATGTAACACTACTAAACAGTAATACTAGCTTTCAGCCAATTCATAGTTCATAGTTCATAGAAGTATAAGGTGAATAGCTTTTTTCTACCAAAGCTAACATGCTATCAAATATATTTCTTGACCTTGAATTGAGGCCAGAATTCCCTTGAAGAGATGATCAAAGGACAAATGTTGAAATGTTATTGATTATTCAGATACCCAGAATTTATGCAACTTACTGTCTTGAATACAGCAATATGACACTATAGCAGCATTTTAGCCTCCCAGCCAAAGCAAGGCGTAAACCTTGCCCTGTGTGAACATGGTCAATATTGTCCTTAGATAAAACCTTCCAGATAGCGAATACGGAGTTTGAAATGACTGAATGATTTCAGGTACAACCTTTGATGTTACAGTATCATTGTATAGTTCATTCAAAACACTGATCACTGCAACTTCAAAAAAAAAAAAAAAAAAAAATATTTTCCTTACCCATGAGCCTTGCAAAGCTTGCATCGATCTCAAACTCAGTGTTCAGTGGCATTTTTATTCTTGGAAACATCTTTCAATAGTATTTTCAGGCAAGTGTGAAAAGGAGGCCTTTGCAGACTTGATTAGATGGTGACCTGACATGCCAATTCAAGCTCCAGACTGCTATGCAGAACTAGTTAATCCAGGCATTGTAGGTGAAAAGAGGTCACATTTTGCCCTTTTGCCCACATCATTCAGCTGTATTGAGAGGTAGCCAAGTGCGACTTAGAGATCAATATGTGTTTGTGACAGATGGCAGGAGCTCTTTTAGCTCTCAAAAGTGTACAAGGTATTGATCATTTACGAGGCACTTATCAAGATTATTGACGCTATGAACTCTGCGGGTGCTACTGCAAACACTACTTTGCTTGTACTTGTAACATCATTTTTCAGATGCATGTTAAATGTCTTTTTCTTCTGCAGCGCTGCCTGTGACATCCACACCTGCGCCAACTAAGTGTAATGCCTACGTGCCTGCCAAACCCATCAGCAAGGAGTCCACTCGTAGGTGAGAGTGAAGCAGCTGTTCAGGAGATATGGAAAGCACATTTTTTGGTTATACAATGTTAATCGGCTCTTCTAAAGCTTGGTAAGAATAGTGATTGTAAGTCCTTAATTAAAGGAAAAACTCCTCTTAAGGCCCTTAGTCCATATTTGTAACTAAATGTACACATAAGAGTTCTCAGAACCAGTCCTGTAACACACCCTTCATGCTTGATGGGATGCCTTGAAAGTGTCTGGAAACACTAATCCACTAATGTTTCTAACTACAAAAGAAAGGATCCTGTTAGTACTCAGTGTTAAATACTACTTTCTATCCAAAATTGCCATTTAAGTTTATGTTTATCTTCCGGATAGCTGGCCTGATATTTACCTTGATGATGAATTCAGCAGTTGACCTTATAGGAAAAGCCTTATGTCTATGCGTCTGTTTGCTTCCAGTATTAACAGCCTGTAGGCCGTTATTGACTGTTGCAGGTGTTTAGGTTCAACTTCTGCTATCTGTTTTTCAGCTGTGGGAGTTTAGTGCAACTGTTGTTGATCCATTTTTCCGTGGCGGAGGAACATCAGCTCTAAAATAAAAATGATGTACTGCTACTATAACTGTTCATAAACCCCCATGTTCTGCAGGATGTCAGCCGTGTTTAAATAATTATAGCGTTATTGTTTTACCTTGCTGTTGAAAACTGCGCGAGTGGCCAGAGTTTCTAGTCCCAGTTGGTTGTACAGTCTTTCTTGTTTTGATCTCTTGCTAGCTCTGGTTTAGACTTCAAAAGTACGTCTACTCTAAATTTGACTATCTTTCAGACTGCATGAATGTCAATGTTGCAATTTTACAATCAGCACCTGCTTAATGGAGACTCTGGTTTTAATCTCAAGAATAGACAAAGGGAACACAAGCATTGAAACATAGATCTGCTTTGTAAAAGCCTAAAGAAGCAAATATGTACAGTGCAATTGAGAGTGCAAAGGTGCTTACATATATATAGTTATGTATAGGTTTGCTATACAATAGTGCACTCATCAGTAAAGTAAAATTGAATTTAAATTTGAGTCAAGAGTAATCCCTCCTGCATGTTAACATCTGACTTTTGCCCAAGATAACAACACAGCACAAATTAACACTCCATCGCCATCAGCATGCATGCATTCATAGCAAGGAGAAGAAAAAGGGGCATCTAAACTTACGTAGCATGTCTATGCTAACTGCTAACAATGATATTAGGAGTAAAGCACATAGTGAGTTACTGTAATGATTGAAGGGGTTCTTTTCCTCCTCTGAACCTCAACCAGATCACTAAACATAGAGTTTAGGGTGCCAGTAGAAACATGCCAATCAAGAGGGATCAGCCAATTTAAGAAATGGATTTTCAGACCCATTCTGAGTGTTTATTCCCCAGATTTTTGTGGATGCTTAATTATAGTCTCAACTTTGATATCCTTTATGCATTTTCACTGTCTCAAGCTAAGTTTCGAGAGTCTTTTACATGTTTATCCTTATGTAATAATGTCACAATGTCCCCTGTGAAGATCAGTCTAATACAGATAATGATCCAACTGTCTGTCTTCCTGTCATCATCTCAACTGTCAGTGTGTCAGTGCAGTTGCAGTATGCGACTGAGCTCTCTGTTCACACCACATGTTTGTCACTGTGTTACAGTCACCACTTGGAGTCTTGGCTGATGTGCTCTGCTATAGTCCTCCTCCTCGGAGTAGCCATATTTGGGAGGAAGTTATGGAAAGTGCACAGTAAGGAGACCTCTCATCACTTTCAATTTTAAATATTGAGTCTCGACAGAATGTTATCAGTGACCTCCTTCAAAGGTTTGTGAAATATATCATGTACACACATTGACATATTTGAGAAATATGCGTCATTATTTATGGCTTACAGATCCTAAATATCAATTTATAGAGCAGGGATCTGCCCCCACACAAAGCAAGGACAACAAATCAAAGTCAAATGTAAGTTCATATTAAAACCTTCTTCCAGTATTCCATTAAACGTTTTATAAATAAGACTGTAATCAAGGATGTGACTTTGTGCTTATCAGGCTTTATTTTCTTTTGTCTCTCCTACAGAAATGTCCATGGGATGTAAGCGACCAGCAGGACACCACAGTCGTTTTCCTAAACAGGGATGATAAGAGGGATGACGCCTTTCTGTACTGAGCTCCGTCAGTGCAGTGTTTGATGACACTCTGCAAGTGACAATAAATCCATATATGCATGACTCTATATCCAGTGCCTTTTATATCGTATACCAACACATTGAAAACAATTATAATGTTTATTTTCTGCTTTCATTACACAACTGAAACAGGCTGCAGATCGTAACAGAGAGCTGTTACTTTTAATTGCCAACACTGAAACCATGTAGTCTTTCATTTGTAAGGATGAGCCCCGTGAATAACTCCACAGACTGTTGGATGAAGGCATTTGGGGATTTGAGTAAACGGGTGGGGTTTATAGCTACACGACAGGGGGAATGTTTAATTCAAAGTTTATGTTTTAAAATAAATTCAGATTTCAATTATGATCTCGCTGTACATATTATTCATGTAAGAAAAGAAAAATGGCAACACTTCAATTACAGGTCTATATATATACTGTATATATTATATACTGTACATTGTGAACCTTAAGTTGATACGAAGTAAAAACAGACTTTTTTTTACCAACTAAGGGCATCAGAAAAAAGCAAACCCACATGACTTATCATGTTTTTGATCCATCCCACTTCAGAGAGTTATATTAGCATGAAGCTTTATTAGTGTCTCAATAATAAAGACTTTTTCAGCTCTGTTTTGGTATCCACCAACTCCTGAGGAAAACTCTCTGTCTCTTAAACCTCTAAATGCTCCAATGTGACTACTGTATAGTTGTACGGTGGCCCAGCAGGTCAAAAAACAAATACTTAACAGAAAACACTGTCGGGAAATAAAACATTTGTCACAAAACAACATGTTACTAAATAAACATTTACACAAACTTAAAACAAACCAGCAACATTTGATTGATTTTTTTCCCTCCTAAAGTAATATTTGAAAACACATTTTCACTAAACACAACGTTCCACAAATGAGAACTAAATGAGAAAAATGGTCAAAAAAGGTGTGATATTTTAGACAGCAGAAGAGATCGGATTACTCTTGCGGTTTGATTCCCGTTGTAGAGGAAGCTTCAATTACGTTTGCATTTAAAGGACCTCGCTTTTCAAACGCATCACATAGTGACTGGACGTGCACAAAAGTAAAAGCAGTCGGACAGTAATCCATCCAAAAACTGCGCTCTGTGCACTACTTAGTTTAAAGTTTTACTCTGAAAGAAAACAAATAATAATCGGGAAATGCTGAGGTGTGTTTTTGTGAAATGTTTTTTTTCAAAGTTGAATTTGTAAAATGTAGTGATCTGTTAAAAAAACAAAAACATTTTGCGGTGTTTTGACCTTCAGGGCTGCCGTACAGTTGCTTGCTCTGACCTTGTGCTGTTTGATGCTGGGCGGTTAGCATATGTCTTTGTTTCTCATGTACTAACTGTGGCCAGAAACAACATTTTCAAAGTACAACTCAACCAAATCCATGACATTTTGGATAGAATAATCAGGTCTGAGGAGCTGATGGAAAGTTCAAACTTGACATCAAGAACCTTTTTTTTTTCTGATGATCTATTTAAACCAGATGTGCTAATTCAATAAATAAGATGTCCAATGTTTAAAATATTAAAATATTTTATAGACTTTCTTTTGTCTTTGTGAGTGTTTGGGGGACAATGACAGATGAACTCAGTAAACCAAAACAAACTGCTGTTTGGCGTCACCTCCGCCATATTGAAGCCTCCGCTCTCCTCCAGCGTCACACCTCCACTCCTCCTCCCCTCACATTCACATGACGGAGTCATCGAACAACTTACCTGCTCTTTTGTAATATTAAATAACAAAGAGTAAGGTCTTTTACCTGCTTGTAAAGGGTCTCCAGATAACACTTGTTATGAATTGGTGCTTTACAAATAAAGATTGATTGATTGATGAAATGGAACTCACCATAAGTAAGAGATATTAGGAGCGATTGATGGACTATTTTGTCCTTTTACTCGAGTTGCTGCCTGTGTCTTGCATTGTTGTGTTAGCACGCTAATGTTAGCACACTTAAGTTAGCACGTAGCTTCAAATTGAACATAAATTGACACAGAATGACTGTGATCTAAAAACTCTTACGACACATCCAAATAAGCAGTGAGTTTGTTCTTCTTATCTCTAGACCTTGACTAAAACAGCTTTCATAAGCAAGGTAAGGAGTCAGCCGCCCCATCCATGTAAACAGGACATAAACACGGCTCTGACAACACATCCAGGGGGACACGTGCTTCTCACTCATTATGAGATGAGATGAGATTCAACTTTATTGTCATTACACATATACAAGTATAGAGTAACGAAATGAGGTTTGGCATCTCACCAGAAGTGCAAATAAGCAGAAAGTGCAAGAGTCTGTGCTATGTACAGTAATTCTGTGCTATGTACAGTAATTGCAAAATTTACAGATGTAGACAAAAAGTGAATTATTAGGTAAATCTGGATGGCTGGATTAATGGGATGCAATAAATATAAATAAATGCTATAAATAAGTAATGCTACAAAATAAGTGTGTTTTTAGGATTATAATATACAGATTAAGATGCAGTGAGCATGCTATACTAATAATATACAGATTAAGATGCAGTGAGCATGCTATACTAGTTTACAGATAATATAAGAATATGGACATAATATGAACATACTATAATACAATAATACAGATGGATAATATGAACATACTATAGTACAATAATACAGATGGATGAGAGATGTGTGTGTGTGACCAGGAGGAGTGGTGGGGGGATAAAGGGTGTGAGGTGATATGGAGGGGAAAGGGGGGTCAGCAGGGTGCGGAGAGAGAGAGAGAGAGACAGAGTTCAGAGTTCGGGGGGTAGAGTTCAGTAGAGAAACAGCTCTGGGGAAAAAGCTGTTCCTCAGTCTGCTGGTTCTGGTCCGGAGGCTTCTGAAGCGCCTGCCGGAGGGCAGGAGGGTAAACAGTCTGTGGGCAGGGTGGGAGGAGTCTTTAAGGATGCCATGAGCTCGCCGCAGACAGCGTGTTCTTTGGACATCCTCAATGGCAGGAAGTGGACACCTTGTGATGCGCTGGGCGGTTTTTACCACCCGCTGTAGCGCCTTACGGTCTGCGACAGAGCAGTTTCCGTACCAGACTGAGACACTGCTGGTCAGGATGCTCTCGATCACACAGCGGTAGAAGTTCATCAGTACAGCTGAAGACAGGTGGTGTCGCTTCAGTGTCTCAGGAAAAAGAGGTGTTGATGAGCCTTCTAACCAGACTGGAGGTGTTAGTGGACCTCCAGTCCACTAACTATAGTATTATAGATAATACAGTCATAACTCAGAGACATATCTTCATAGGATATACTCGATTTCTGCTATATTTATGTGTAAAATGTTGCACATTCTTCCTTTAAAGATGGGTTTAGATAAGTGTTTGGTAATTGCTGTCTACTCCTAATTGTTGTGTTGTCTCCAGCTACAGAGAAATATGTCAATGTGAATGTAAAATGAGAGTAATGTGTCAAATCTTGTCTCCATGAAAAAACCCACGGGAGTGATGAAGATGTATTTTCAGATTTTGTCTTTGTAAGTAGAGCTAGGCTGCAGTGTTTATTTCATAACTAGATAATGAAGCAGCTAATTAACACACTTAAGCATGGATTCATTCTGTTTGACAGAAAACTAGGAAGCACATCCAGACAGCATGGACATTACTCTGAGATGTATTTATTCTTCAGAGAGAAGTAAGTAAATGAAGGCAGAAACCATTAGAAGGAGTTCCGAAATGAACTCTCAGAGAAAGAAACAGCTCTACATTTCATGCTTGGACTGTCTGTTCTTGTACCGAACCTCAAACGATGTGTTAGAATTGTAAATTGAACAAGCTAATGAGATGGCCAAAAAGGCTGTGGAGCCAACTCCAGCCTGGAACACTTTGTCTTACAGTCACTGGAGGAAAAAGCCATTTGGCTGACGGTGCACACAATACGATTCAGTTTCATTTTAATGTAATTTTTTTTCTTTATAATAGTCCTGTAGCATTAATTTTAAGACATATGCATCAAGTTATACCATCACAGAGGTTTTCCCCCAGAGCCAACAACAGCTACACTTGGTCGAAGTGGTTTGCAATGTATACTTTTACTAAGTGACAAAAGCCCACTGAACAAAATGGATATGTAACCGGAATGATGTAATGGTGCAGGCTTTTATGGATCAATAAAACAGAGAGAATACTGGTAGGGCAGATAAATCAAACATAGTTTAAATGATATTCCCCATAATATTTCTGGAACATATCCATTTGAAGAGAAGATTCACAAGATCACAGACCTGGTGAGATAGTGAGAGATACAAATAAATGAGGTTGTTTCATTTTCACACATCTTACTGATTTTCAGGCCTTTTCAGAAATGATCAAGGAAATCACTGCAAAGGAAATCATGTTTACTGATTTTTCAGGTATATTTTATTTACATAATTTGTTTGAAGCCTAACAACAGGAGAATGTCCATGGTGGGCAACCCCCGACCCTACCCCCGCCCTTGTTGGCCACCCTAAATTCCTTAACTATGACTAGCTATTCATTTTTTCAAGTGGAATCTGGAATCAGATTGGTTGTGTTACGACAGGCTGTTAAGCTTTCTCTGCATTAACATTTCTGCAATACTGTAGGAGTACAAATAATGTTAGGAGTTAAAGTAAATATTATCATTGGTGATAGAAAGAGTGAAAATATGCTATTCATTATTATGTAAGTACACATATTATTTATGCCCATGCATAAGTCCCCATTTGGGCCACCTCAGGCGAAAGAGTCAGGACACAGCCCTTACAAATGCAAGAAACTTGGTATAGGCTCCTATTGGATATTACATCCCTGTCTATACACCATTATTTTCGATACACCTCAAAGATGCACTCAATAGACAGGAAACAAAATGACAAGCTGGAAGTTAACATCGCCATCGCCATTTATCGCCAACTGGCAAAACCACCCAGAATGCTATTTTCAACCATAAATCGCCTACTCCACCCCATTGACCCCCCTCACCCTCCAGATGCCCCTGATCTCTGCAACAGATTCCTGGACTTTTTCCATGCCAAAGTGGACTCCATTCACCAGCAACTTCGGTCAACTGCCCCCTCCCCTTCACATACATCAACCCCCACTGGCCACTGCTCCCTCCACTCCACATCTGCTTCATTGCTACTTCCCCTCCTTTGCACATGTGGATGCCCTTCAGGTAACTAAACTCGTCACCAAGGCCAAGGCTTACACCAGTTCTCTGGACCCCATGCCCACTGCCCTGGTGAAGACTAGTCTACCCCTATTGTGCTCCACTATGGCCAACACCATCAACTCCTCCCTGGAATCTGGCACAGTCCCCTCCAGCTTTAAAACAGCTTCAGTCACACCCATCCTAAAAAAGCCAGGTTTGAAC